ATATTGTAAAAGAAAACTATTACCTTTGAAACTGTAGTATGTGAAGAAAACCTGTGAACAAAAAGATCAAGGATATCAGCTTAGATGCATGACAATTGCAAATTCTGCTTTCTTTCATCTATCACTAGCGATCCCTGCACCTGCAATCCTGGCCACCCAACTGAGACATGTTTGCAATGGTCTGTAACAGGTTTGGTATAGTAGATGAGGCAGAAACTGTCTCAAAGCACACAATTAAGAAGTGGTCAGGTTTAGAGCATCATAGGGAGGAATTATAAAAATCAAGCGGCAATCTTATAGTCAATTTGACTTCCTTCTGTTTCTTGATCTGACTTACTGCTCTTATTTAACATTGCCTTGCAATGTGACAAAATTGTTAAATCTCATTATTAACCAGTTGTGGAGACTGAACATGCTACACACAACAACAAAAGATTAAATTGAAGTACGCAGAGCATGTATAGTACTTTCTGACCTTCTTGGATGCTGCTTCCCACCTCACACTTCCCGAATAAATATGTATTACTTTGTTATCTTAAATAAGAACCGAATTATTGCCAAATAAACAGGCCTATATTAGAAAGGTAAAAATTACTCTGGTCCACAGGAGTCAGTCAGAGGGTGAAAGGGTTAGACTTTCTGGCAGGATTTTAATGCTGTGTGTGACCACAGTCAGAGCAATACGATTGTCAGACCCCAGCACCTGGTGCACCTAAGAGTACAAAACTACCACTACCCATTAACTTAAAGTGCCACTTTACCACTAACCACCGTTATAAGGAGGCACTATACCACTGACCACTAACATAAGGGGAGACTATAACAATGACCACCAACATAAGGGGGCACTGCACCACTGACATAAGGGGGCTCTATACCACTGACCATTGATATAAGGGGGCACTATACCCTTGACCACCGACATAAGGGGGCACTATACCACTGACCACTGATATAAGGGAGGGGGGACTATACCACTGACTACTGCCAACATAAGGGGCCACTATACCCCTGACCACCATTATAAGGGGGCACTATACCACTGACCACCAACATAAGGGGTGTCAGAGACCAAGAAACCAGAATTAATAAAAGGAGTTTATTGAAAGCAACAATAAACAAAGTAGCAAAACAATAGGTAAATCCAAGATGTAGTCAGAGCTGAGCCAGAGGTCAGAAGCCAAAGCAAGTAGTTAACCGTGCCAGGTCTAGAAACACAGGTAGCAGGATGAACGAGTACAATAGCTTATAAAAAAATGTTTAAATTATAACAATAAATAAAAATAAAATATGCAAAAATTAAAAGTTTATAAAAAATAAATACAAATAAAATATAAAAAAATGCGAAAAGGTTAGAAAAACAAACATTTTCGGTTTCTGCCTTTTTATTTTAATTTCGGCTTCAGTTTTGATAATTTAATTTCTGTGCACCTATAGCTTTTAAGATATTTCAAATGCTGATTAAATCACTTACAATGGATGCTGCTCCTTGATGTTTAAAACTTTTAATATTCTGTAAAATCAGCTGTTCCCTTGATAACTGGCCCTGATATCCTGTTTTAGGGTGGCTACTTTCCCTTGCAGGGTCCTATGGAATCACCCTTATGTCTGCTGGTAAGCTGTTTGTGTCTTCACAAACACACAGGCACAGCAGAGCAAGCTGTTCCCTGCTCCCTGCTCCTCCCTTCTCCTTCCTCCCTCTTTCTTTCTCCCTTCTCCAAGTTAGTAGATGAACAGCTGCTGGTGACTGCTCTGTCCCTTGTGATCTTGCACTGGACAGGTAGTTCAAGAAGTTGAGCTGAGAGTTGAAGCTAGCTGTTTGGAAACATGATGACTGTAAGTGCTTGGGAAAATATTTAATTAGAAATAACTACTTTGCTGGGCAATATGTATTTGTTTGATCTGGATTGATTTTTAACAAAAGATTGAGCGTGTACCACTTTAAGGCATAATTTGTAGGTAGAAGTAATGCCCATACAGTATGTGTATGGTTTATGTATTGAGTAGACTGGGGCTTTGTTTAACCATGACTCCTATAGCCATGCCCACTGCTCAGCACCATGTTGTATCAGGTTGTATTGCTGTGTATGTCCTCAACGGAAGATTTCCCATCACTTTCCAATAGGGAAACACACAGCAATAAAAAGTTGACAGTGGCAATACAGCATCTTCATTTGTGAGTTATGGGTATAACTGTTTTAAAGAGATTGTTTGTTTCCTTATCACTAGAGATAGACTTTACATCACATTACTTCAATTTAAATGATGCCTGGTATTGTATATGTAGTATCTGAAAAATCAACTTACCAATCAAATATTTTCTGCTAATCAATTCATTCTAGGAAAAAAGACAGTATGTAAGGATACAGCCTTTTCAATAAAATGTTGTAAAAACTGAACGAAAAATACTGACCAGTCCCTGCAAAAGTTGTGGAGGTAAGTCTGTAAAGCAAAAAGGAAAAATACAGGTGAAACTTGAATAATTAGAATATCATGCAAAAGTAATTGCAGTAAGTGCTGCAAAAGGGGCCCAAACCAAGTACTGAGTACATATGCATGCTTGTACTTTTCAGAGGTCCGATATTGATCTATGTACAATCCTTGTTTTATTGATTGCATGCAATAATCTACTTTTTTGAGGTTGTGGATTTGGGGTTCTTGGGGTTTTCATGAGCTGTAAGCCATAATCATCACAATTATGACAAATCACGGCTTGAACTATCTTGCTTTGCATGTAATGAGTCTATCTCATATATTAGTTTCACCTTTTAAATGCATTAGTGAAATAAATGAACTTTGCACGATATTCTAATTATTTGAGTTTCACCTGTATAACCATGTTAGCATTCCTCATACATAGTTTTTTTCTTCTTTGAGACAACTTGCTTTGGCTTTTCCCATTCTAAAATCTACATGCGTATTTCATTGTAAAAATGTACCTCAAAAGCAAAACCAAAGGCAGATACAAGCAAAACCCTATACATATTACATTACTACTTAGAATAAAAAATAAAATAATGATAATCATATTGTGTATGATGCAATCCTAAAGCCTTACTGCAGCCAGGATGTTTTTAAATATTTTATGGAGAAAGAGCGCTCCCCTCCATCAGGTTGGAATATTTGTTGAAGGTTAAAGAAACGCCAATACATTTCGGGGACCTGCGTCTCCTTCATCAGGACTAATAATAGACATGTTTGGGGTTATTTAAAGTGTACCTATAGCCAAAACTTTTGTTTTAAGTTTGGGGAGCGTGGGGAAAGATTACAACCATAGACACACACAGCATGCGGCATGCCACACACCCCGCTCTCACAGTCGCAGTTTGACTGTCAGAAGAAGGAGCCTATCACTCCTCTACCCTCAGTACCGCCCCCCAGCACCAGGAAGTTCAGGGAACGCCATTTCCATGTATCTTCCTGGTCCCGGTGGGGGAGACAAGCGACCACATGTAAGTGGGGGAAGAGGGGCGGGACAGGGGTTATAGAAAGGTACTGGGTGTTTTTTACCTTAAGGCAGAAAATGCATTAAGGTAAAAACGCCTTGCCTTTAGTACTACAGTAACAAAGCACCCTATGTCTTTTGGAATCCCATGATGCATGAAAAGTAATTGAAAGTTGTATTCAGGCACCAGGTTGCCTGATTTTCATTGACGTTACAGCTTTATAAACATTTTGCAATGAACATTGCTGAGTCCAGGCTGCTGTGGCCCACAGGTGACCCTGCTCAGCAGAAATCAGATAGTACAGATTTTGACAGACTTTTCTTTGGGTACCTGGAACAAAGGAATTCTGGGCAGCTGTAGTACTTTGCTGATTGAGAAATGCCAACAAGAGACAAAGCTTCACTTCCGCGTTCATCCTAAAATAAAGAGAATAGCTGTAAGTGTAAAGAAAATACAACACTAATAGAAGAGACTGTAAAGCAATACGTCCTTTCAGTGTATTTTCCTTGATTTTTTAAGAACTAGGAATGTGTGAAGATCTTACAATCCAATTATTTTATTTAGCACAGCATGCTTTGCATTTCCTTTTGCAGTAAACTAAGCAGGACAGGATTCCTACATTGCCAACGTATGCCAAGGCAGAAGGGGTGTAGGGACAGCACACAGCCACTCACATTATTATGTTGTCAGGAACACATTTTCATGTATGATAAAATCTTCCATATTTCCACCATGCCTGTTAGTGCAGTCCAATTAGGTCTTCATTGTTGATGTCTCTCTCCGGTTTGTACGTTTCTTCTGATGGAATAGTGTAATTACTGTATACCTACAGGCTAGCCAGTAGACTGGGGTAAGAGAGGGCAAGCATAAATCCAGCTCTGACAAGAGGCCCCACAAAGCATCCACACAGAAACTCTCTCCTATTTTGCACTGCCACCAACATTTTTCTAAGGTAGGGAGCTTTTCAAACAGAAGACAAGGAAAGGGAAGTTTACAAAAAAAAATCACTTTATTCCTGTTTATCGGTTTATTAAAGAAACTCAAAGGTGTCTTTTTAACTGTATCCTTTTGTGCAGCCAGGGCTGGAATTATCATTTTTCTCCCCTAGGGCAGTTTTCTTCCCTTCAAGAAACGACTTTTGGTACTGCCTCCCTAAAGAAGCACACAAAAGGCATATGCACTGTTCTACATAAATATCATGACTAGAAAGTAATAATCATAGACATATTAAACATTTGTTACCTGTATTCAGGGCCGGATTAAGAGCATCACAGGCGTGATGGTCACCGGGGCTCTCTTCCTCCTTCCGGGCTGTGATTTGTAGTCTCTCTACAGGTTGGAGTCAGTGGTGGAGCTCCAGGGCCCGGATGCAGCTGCGACCCTAGTAGATCTGCCACTGACTCCAAGCTGTAGAGAGACTAAAAATCTTAGCAATACATTATACAACAATGCAGAATACTGCCAACTATAGAGGACTACAAATCCCAGTAATACCTTACACAGAAATTCAAAATATCACAAGCTATAGAGGACTACAAATCCCAGCAATACATTATACAGCAATGCAGAATATTACCACTAACTATAAAGGACTATAAATCCCAG